TATCTATCTATCTATCTATCTATCTATCTATCATCTATCTATCTATCTATCTATCTATCTATCTATCTATCTATCTATATCTATCTATCTATGTTTCTTACAAATAAAAGTCTTGGGGTAGTTAGTTTCTTTAAGATCACAGTTATTTTTAAAAGAATCAAATCTTTGCACTTTTCTGTTTACCTCTACTTTTGTAGCAATTCCTGACTTCATCAGTCACCATAATATGCACTGAATGAGGTAATATAATAAATAATCCACTGCCACACAAAATAAAAAAAATTAAAATCAAGGTAAGGTCTTATATCTATTAGCATCTTCTCCATTCACCCTCTTTCAAAGCCACTTGGGCATGCTAAAGGAATTCTGTGTCAGTGCTTATAAAGTGTTCTTTAATTTTAATTCTAATTCTAATTCTTTACATGTTTGTACATAAGAAAGATTTCTTGACAAAATTGTATTTCTCATAGATTACAAATTCTGAGGGTAGAAAGATAAGCTTGGAAGATCTTTTTAAGAAATCCCATTGTACATTTTTAAAATGTAAGTCAAGGAGAAGCAGCAGGCTGTTTTGAATTACTGAATCATGAGGGGCCAATATTCCCAGGGTCTATTATCACTTATCATTAATTCATATTTCCACGGGGGAAGGAAAGTACTCATCAGGTTGGATGAGCACAAGATGCTATTAATTCTTTTTCTCTTTTCATGGTTTGGTTCTTCTCTGAGATGGTAGGTTAGATCAAATGCAGGAAAGTAACCTCTCTGGAAAAAGAAGAATGTTTTTATTTATTCTAACTTGGATAGTCTGAAGTCTGTCACATCTGAAGCATTAAAATATTATGTGCTTGGCCAGCCAAGGATGACAACTGTTCAGTACACAGGAGATCTGCATGGAAAACCTCCTCCCCATGGTTTTATAAAGCACACACAGTGAGTGTGGTCAATCTGACTATGATTCTATATGACATTTATTTTATGTAATCAAGTGGATAACACATTTATCCAGAGAGTGCTAATGTAATAGTATCAGAAAAGCAGAAATATGAGGAAATACTTTTATATTCATTCTATAGTGCAGTAATATATGTGCAATTTCAATAATGGCTTTGTCTTCTGGGAAAGAGTGGTCATTAATTGAGTTGGCTTCCCATCAGAGAGTGGTAATCAGTGCCATTCTCCAATGGTGTTGATTTTTATATAAACACAAAATGCCAACCTGTATTATCCTTTGTGACATTTTGAGCAACAATGGGTGTATTACTTCAAGTATGCTTTTCATTTCCTAGATCTTTGTATTTGCTATTCACTCACTCCCTGTTGTACAAGAATATAAGTGGGCCTCAAGGGACACAGGTGTAAGACAAAAACAGTGAGTGCTCCATTAGAACTTAGTCTCTGCAAGGGACGGATGTGCCAATAGATAACCGAAACGAAATGACTGTGTTGTCTGAATTTTTCACTGCTCATTTACTTTTCAGTCAATTCAATGCTCTGGTAAAGACCAACAAATCCTCTCCAAGGCACAGTCCCATGCTTTTGGTTTAGTTGGTGTCCTTGGAGACTTGCCTTTGCAAGCCATTCCCACTTCCTCAAACTTCTCTTGGGTCCTGGTTTCCATGATATCATTTCCACTTGATTTTTTTCTATCTCTATTGTTACTACCTATTAGAGGATTCTATTCTTGCATGGCCTTTAAGTATTGCCTCACATTATACTGGCCATCCTTCCTTTGTGTTTTTCTCTTACTATCTTTGGTCTACTGATAAAACATAAGCAGCCAGAACTGTGCAGGTAGAAGGAGCCATGGGAACAGCAGCCCAGATGACAAAGGCAAAAAAAGAAATAAGAAGAGACAGCCTAAGGGCCAGATCAGTACACTGCTAGGAAGGGCTGATCCCACAAGAAACCTGAGCTTGCAATTCAGGTGATACTGTGATTTTAGAGTCAAAGATCAGAAAACTACCTGAGTGTTGCTTTCTCAGATACAAGTAGAAACTAGTGGTTTGTCTGACAGATAGCTAGCAATCTTCTTCCTCAAAGCCTTTTTTTTTTCTTTTATGTTTAGTAATTGTGTTAATTGATACATTGTGTCAACTTGGCTGAATCAGCTCCAGCAGTTCTCAGCGTGGAGGCCTAGCCCTGCAGATGGGCAGGGCCCAGGAATTGAGAAAGGCTTCCTGCCGCCCTGCCCTGTTTGCATGGAGACGTTTCAGTCTTTGGAGGAGCCTGATCTTGGCAGCTGTGCCATTTTGGAAGAGCTACGGTCTCTGCCATGGAGTGCCAGTTTTCACAGTCAGTGTAGAAGGAAGAGAGAGGCTTGATGGATGCCGCAGCTGCTGCTCCTCCTCTGCTCTTCATTGTTTTGTGCCACATGAACTGCTGTTGAGCGCCTTGGAGCCAGTGGAATATGGACTGAACTTTCCAGTAACTGTGAGCTAAATAAACCTTTCCTTCCTTCATTTTGAGTGTTGGGTATTTGTCCCAGCAATGAGTAAAAAGTAACTAAGACAGTAATGATACTCTGAAATGTAAGTACAGATCATCCCTATGTCTTTTATTTATCATGAACACAATAAAACTACTGATTTAGAAAGAAGCACACTGCAACATGTATTTTTCTCTTTCAGTTGAACCTTGTTGTAAAAGTGCAGGTAGAAGGACCCAGATTTTCTATGAAACTGATCCATTATTGGAGGAGAGGTGGGTACTAAAGTTAGGAGGAGCAGTGAATAGAATGAAGGTACCTCTCTGCACGGGTAAAGTACAGATGGATGAACATGCTCATTTGTGTACATGTGTGTGAGTGTCTATGTGTGTGTATGAGACAGAGAGAGAAAGAGAGACAAACATAGAGAGAAAGAGACAGAGACAGAGACAGACAGAGACAGACAGAGAGAGACATAGATGGAGAGAGACAAAGCGAGAGAGACAGGACAAAGGCAGCAACAGAGACAGCGATAGAGACAGGGAGAGTTCAATTGCCAAGCCTCTCAATACTTCCAATTTAGGTATTTCTACCAAAAGAGGGCAGACAAACCTGGAAGAATTCCTAGCAATAAGCATTTCTAGCATGTATAGGTGAAAATTTAAACTCTCTTCCAGAGATCATGCTTTGTTTTGACAAAAGTTGAAAACATCTCAGTGCCTGGTATAGTTATGCTTGTTTCATTAATAAAGAATGCTTGAAATACCTTTTTGAAAAGATGCTACTAGGTTATATTTAGCCTGCTCAGCAAATGGTGCTGAAATGAATAAAAGCAATCCTATCATTCATTTCAGAGTCCTAGGAATTCTGAGAAACCAGTTACACATGACCAAAAAACCTACCAAAGGCTTTTTTTGTTGGTGCTTTTCAAGCTTTTCAGCCCTGGGGAGGGAGGTTCCGAAGGTGCCAAAGGGCAGCATGGTGCAATGCTTTCAGCTCCCCCCCCCTTTTTTTTTTAACACCATGAATTGCCTTTATTTCGTATGTATCCATATTTAAGCATTTAGTGGTCCTGAACAGACAGTGGGATGATGCAGCAGGGGCCAGGAGGCCAGGGGGGGCCAGGCCACCAGCCCGGGATCCGCCGCACACCGAGCCGCTTTGTCCCCACCAAGCACGAGAAGCAGCAGAAGCACCAAGGCCAAAGTCCACGCCGGCTGGGTTCTTCTGTTCCAGTTCTCAGACTGCGCACCGGACCCAAATGGAGGAGGCAGGGGAGCCCAAATGAAGGCCCGAAAGCCTGTGTGAACTTCTCCAGCTCCAAAGCGAGGTGGGTGGGGAAGTGGAAACAATCCAGACGGACAGTGCGTGCTTACGAGTATCTTCACGTGGCCTCACTTGGTCTGCTCACCAGGGACCTGGGCACTGGCAGGTCTGCGTGACTCCAGCAACTGCTCTGTTCACCTCATCACACCTGAGCTGACATCGGCCGATGGTGGAAGCAGGCGGCAGCCCGGGGCCCGGTACTCACTTCCCAGGCTGGTGCAGAATGAATGACTGTGGTTCCAAAGCTAAAGGAGGGAGGTCAGAGACTCTTTCCAACCTTACCTGATGGCTTCTGGCCAGAGGAAGGAAGGGGCATGGAGAGCGTTGGGGTGACAGTGTGACAAAGGGAAGGAGGAAGAGGAAAAGCAGCACCCCTCGATCAAGGTGGGGGAGAGATGGGGAAAGCCCTGAATTCCTCACCGAAGGCCAATTTCAGAGGGGGTTGGAGGGTTACAATCTATGCTTCAGCCAAGGGTGGGAGTGGAGGAGAGTGGGACAGGTCGATGGCTTGGAAGGGGGTGTCACTGAAGACTTAAAAAAAGAAGCCAGGGCACAGGCAAAGCACCCCCACACCCAACAGTAGTCCCACAGGCGGCAACCTGAAGCCTTCACATGGACTCAACCAGCCACCCAGGCCAGGGCTCCAGGCGGTGGAGGCAGGGTGGGGGTGGGGTGGGCAGGCAACGCCTGGGCCGTGACATCAGCAGCAAGGTGACTGTGTGACGTGTCTTTTCACAGTTAAGTTAGATGCGCCCCATCAGTCCAGACGGGGATCAATTTAAATATCCTTTCTTGATCCCAGAAGCTCAACTGTGTGGACAGTGGTTACACCTGACAGGATGATTTGTTATAGCACAACTTATATATTCAAATGGACAAAAAATTAGTATCATTTACAGTATCTTAAGATAAAATGCCTTGAATGGGAGCTTTCTTTCCAGTACTTTGAGGTCTACAAGACGTAACTAGAAAATTTATTACTGTGGAAAATGAAGACTGTTTAAATCGAATCGGGGTGCGGGCTGGTGGGGAGGGCCTGTGGGGTTTTTGATTAATTGCTGTAACACTGTCCTTCAGGTGGCTGAGGAAGTTTCATATTTTCTTTAGACATCATTAAACGCCGAAGCTCTTGCAGAACAACTTTGATGCTATATGAATTCTGCCATTTTGCTAGCACTGATATGGCTCTTGGGTCCACCACTCCATTAGGACTATTAACTCCATTCATATTAATTTTTGTTACAAATCTTACAAAGGGGGGTGCTTCTGGGTATTTAGGTCCACATTCTATTTTAAGGCTATATATTCGGTTTTCATAAATTGTTCTTGGAGGCCCAATTACCATCCCTGTCCATCTTGTAAGTGTCATGTCTTCGTCATCTTCTAGGCCCCAGCTAACTGTGCCATCTCCTACTCCTTTCTGACCTTCTTCGAGTTCTTCCAACAGTCGGAAATTGCGAGGGACTTTTACTCCCGAGCCCATGGTGGCTGCCATTTTGCTTCGCTGGTCAGTTCCCTTTTTGATGGTACTTTTGATAAATATATGTTCTTGTTTGTGCCATGTTTCAGACAAAAAATTTCTTTGATTATAATCTTTTATTTCCCAGGGAAAATTATCTATTCATTTATCCCAAAAGATTTTTTTAGTTCCTACTGTGTGCTAGGCATGATCTTAATTTGTCAATACAGTTTTATAGATATGAAAGATAACTCAAGATATTATTTATTAGTTTAGTACTAATGCTATAGTTTTAATCACATGAGTCACATGTAGTTGACAAGAAAAATCACTAAAATTTAAACAATGAATCTCTTCTACTGTTAAAAATTATTGTCATTAGGGTGTTGTTGCGTATATTACAAGCATTCATTCATTCTTTGCAATCCAGGACACAGATGTTTAGTTTTAAAGCAATGTCTGGTAAATCAGTCAATTTGGAGAGTTATTCTTTCTCTCAAAGTGAAAGAGAGTTGTTCTTTTCATATAGTTCTGAGCTAGAGGTCACGACAGCCCCGTCATTTCCATCCAGCAATACTGGATTGTTGCTCTGTGGTTGAGCAAGTTCTCAAAAGCACTTTTCTCTTCACATTTGAAGAAAAAGAGGAAGCACTCCCCATGGTGAGACATTCTGGGGACACAGTGGCATTCATCAGCTCACACCTTGGGGTCTTGACAACCCAAGGTGTATTGATCCAAATGGTGGCCCCTTCCACACATTTTCTGGGCTCAACCCACAGGGGTTTATAAAACACAGTTTATCTAAAACTCGATAGTCACTTTCTGCAGACTTCCTCAGAGATAGTCTTTACTCTTGTTTTAGAAGTTATATGAATTTAGGTGCCTGGAAGGGTGGCCCTGTACTTCTTTTGTCAAAAAGAGATCACAATTATTTTAAATTGTGTAATCTGTGTAATCGTGATGTGTGGTCCTCACTGTCAAGTGCTTAGCCTCTTGCCCAGCATATAGAACATGCATACTTTTTTATTTACAGAATATATTATCTTTATTATTAATTTTGAGCAAAACCAGGCATGGCACTTCTTTATAGTTTTTCCCTAAAAATTATTTCTCAAATCCTCCTTTTTTATTTTAAAAAATATTTTCTGCTCCCATGTTGTGTATTTATGGATGATATTTGGATCAATCATCATATACCAAATCACAAACATGTATTTTTTCTTTTCTTTTCTGTGGTGATGGGATCAAGTCCATGGGTTTGCATATGGCAGGCAAGTGCTCTACAACTGAGTCTTATCCTCAACCCAAAAGCATATCTTATTTTACAGAGAAAAAAGTAAAACAAAATTTCATTAAAAGTAGGAGAAAAATAATAGTTAATATGTTACTCTTTTATCTTTTTCAGCAGGGTCATCTTATGCAGCTCAGGCTGGCTTCAAGCTCAATTTGAGGTGCAGGCTGATTTCAAATTTGCAATGATCCTCCTGCCTTAGCTACCTGAGTGCTGGGATTAAAGGTGTGCACTGCCATGAACAACATGTTATCTTTAAAGTAGTTGCTCATGGGGACAGCTGTGGGGTTCTTGATGAGCCCTGCCACATGCCCCCACCATCATAGGAGGCTTTCTGAGCTGCAACCCTCGCACAGCATTGCACAAGCTTTGGTGAGTGCTATCTTGTCCCCCATCACTGTGGTGGGAACCTTGTGGAGCTTTAGCCCAACACTGCATTGTCACAGAAGGCAGGCTTAGTCCTGGACAGCTAAGCAGCTTTGGTGATCTCTGTCCTGCTCCACCCCACATGTCCAGGGAGTCTCCCTGAGCTGCAACCTGCCCAAAATTTACAGGGGACTTGGTGAGCCTACACTCCAGGCCCAACATGGTGGAAATCTTGTGGAGCTGCATCTTGCACTATTCTCACTGGTGCAGGAGCCCCAACAGTGGGAGCCAGTGCCACCCCACCAGTGTTGCAGGAGCCTTGCTGACCTGTGCCTCATTGCTCTGCAGTCATTGCTGAGTCTTGGTCAACACTAGGAGCTTCAAAAATGTCAAAATGAAGGGACAAAAGGTAACCTCAGACCTCCAGCCCACCAAGAACAAGTCCAGGAAAGAGGGACGTGGAAGAACTTGGAAGTCACATACTTGAAATATTTGAAATGATAGAAACTGAACCAAAGACACAATACCATAAAGCTATAGAAGAAATCAGATCACAAAAAATATCAGGTAAAAAAAGAAATGAAAGCATTTCTCAGCACATCTAAAGAAGACAGGTTAAAAATTAGAGGAGAATTAAAAATGATGGAAACATTGAATGAACAATACAGGAAAGAATTAGAATGCTTCAAACAGATTCAGATATATATATTACCAGGAAATTAAAAATTCTATTGAAATCTGGAAAAACCACTTGACTCAAACTGAAGATAGATTTTTGGACCTTGAAGACAGCATTGTAGCTAGTGATCATGAAAGGATTGATCCAATAAAATAACCAGGAATCAGGAAATAATTCAACAGCTGCAATATCATGCAAAGAAAAACAACATAATATTAATAGGTGTCATTGGGACAGCAGAAGTTAGCACAAATGACAGAAGACTATTTGTGTAAGTAGTATCATGGGAAAAGAATCTGACACTCAGTTAAGTGAGGCAAATAAAAATCCAATTAGCCATAGTAAAAATAAATCTAGACTCAGATACATAATAATCAAAATTAGGCAAAAAATATTAAAAGCTGTTAGATAGAAGAAATAGATC